ATGACTTAAAGACAAAAGAACTGATAAAAAAGCTGTTATAGGAGCAATAGCCATGTGGGCAGCGCTGTGTCATCTGCCATAGCTTATTTGTTTATATAAAAGCTTAACCAGACTTATTTGTTCATTAATGACGTCATCAGCGACTAGACGACTTCGACTCGACTTTCATCACATAAAAGTCGACTTCAAAAAATCAGAAGTCATTCAACCCCTAGTGTACGATATTGACAAAACTGACGCGCGATGTCTCCTCCTGAGGACTTGTAGGCCTCCACCACAGACAGATCGCCTTCGACTACACCTGCACACACACACACGAGCGCAGCGGGTTAGCTCTCACACGTGTTACACCACACTGTCATGATTTATAGTAACCGGCTGCTCGTGTTTTCAGTGAAGAAACACACACAGTCTACATCAGGAGAGCTTCTCCAAACGTGACACATGAGTTGAACCGCTGCACACGTGTGGATCAGGAAACAGTTCATAAGATTATTAATCAGGCATGCCGATTTGTTCGGTGGTTAATGTGTTCTAAAGTGATCTGACGTGGTCGTTCCATGTGCTGCTCGCGGTCTCGAGACATCAGCTGTCTGAAGATCTCCGCATGCCAGACTGACCCAGAGCACGAGAGCACTGACACACACTCGCAGCGTTTGGACGCTTCTGAAACCGTGTAAAGGTCACAGTCACACGAGTGCGTTTACTTGTTGATCTGCTGCATGTTATTTATAAGTTTCTGAATCATATCAGAGTTTACAGCTGATGGAATGACTAATCTGAAAGATTTTAACAACCCATTCAGATGATGCGTGTGTTTAATTGTCTAATATATAAATTTATGAGTAACAATAATTCATATTTGTTCTATTTGTTTTTATCGATAATGGTAACTACACACAATTATTGAACTTCAACAATTAAAATTACACATTACGAATTTTTAATAGTAAAGGATAATGAATAAAGCATTCCTGTAGCTCAAGCAGAACACAGCAACACAGAAGACATCTTCCACACGTTTGTTGTGTCCAGAGCATCCGGAAACAAAAAATCATGCCCAAGAAAAAGTTTGTGATTGTATCAAATCATTGACAGTCAGGATTCTGAGTGTCATGTGAAGGATTCACTTTGCGTTGCATGCTTACTTTTTAAAGATCTAACCAAACCTTATTGATAATTTATACTACGGGGCCGTTGAGCGCTTGAATCTGATTGGCTGATGAATGTTCTAATGTGTGCGATTATTTTCAGGGAAACACACGGCTAAAGTAGTTCCAGGCAGGTCTTGACCGCATCACATGTCCATATCACTTACAACAGGTATTTGAATTATTAGAAAATAATGCACACCCGAGGTGTAACGGCTACATCACCACCTATTTCCTGAGAATTATTAATCAATTATTCCTTCATCAAAATCTATTATTGAAACAATCCTGCCAAGCGTTTCACTCTTTCCTCATCCACATAGACAGGAGCTGTGCTTGCATGACTATAATCTGCCACAAGTGAACTAGCATGCGACATTTCTTCAGCAGAATAAACTACAGAGTTTACACTGATTAACACAAAAGTCTGGCTATACGAGACTAATGCCAAACCTACACTACAAAGATGGCACAGAAGCGCTTCTGACGTGGCATTTAAGTGTCTTTACACATGCTGCTCAGAGACTGCATGAATGCATTTACACAATGTGTACTGTGATACTAAGGTGGGTCAGAGCAGGCATCATTTTCTCTGGCTTTTACGCAGCATTATGTCTTAACACTGAATTCTGAGCTGGCACAGAGCAGCCTTGAGTGTATAAAGACACCTTAGGAGGCCCCTGAGAGCGAGTAAAGAGGCACTCACCAGCGCAGGCGTTGAGAAACAGCCAGTCTGTCTTCCTCATGCGGTTCTTGATCTGTTTGAGCTTCTTGAAGTCCACCTCGATCTCCTCGTTTCCGCTCTGAGCTCCAGCGGCCAGCTCGATCTGCAGCTCCGCCTCACGTTTAGAGGAGGCAGGTGAGAGCCGCTGCGCCCCGCTGCACACGCCCCGTGCTCGGCCGCGGTCCCGCTCGTTAATCACGGATGAGGGCTCGTCAGGCTCGCGCGGCTGGAAGGCGTCGTTGGGTCTAGGGTGGTCACACACCACGCAGCGAGAGGATTTGGGCCAGTTCTCATATGAGCAGACCGAGCAGGTCCAGCACTGCGCTCGTGTGTGGAGTCGGTTCCGGTCGTTGTATTCCTCACACGGATCCGCTGGAGGGCCGGTTCCGGACGTCTGCGGGGTTTCTGTGGGGCTGTAGATGCGCTGCCGGACACTGCGGCACTGGGTGCAGCGGATCGCTCTGGGCCAGTTCAGGTAAGTGCACACCTGACACGACCATTTGCCACTGTGCTCGGAGGACTCGGCCGGGCGGACGCGGGGCCGGGCGCTGGAATCAGGGCAGATGAGCAGGCTGTCGTTGCACACGGGGTCACACCGGTGTCCGGCGCCGCTCGGGAACAGTTCCTCTGTTATGATGGTTCCGCTGGGCCGCTGCGCTCGGCACATGGTGCACTTAATAGCAGTCGGCCAGTTTTCATACGTGCAGTACTCACACGACCACTTCACACACAGCTCTGTCATGATGGACCAGCACACACACTCACACACACACACACTCAACAACACACACTTACATCAGGCTCACACATTGACACGGAGACAGCAATCTGCAAACACAAAATAAGATGAGACATGTCAGAAATACAAAACATCCAAGACTCACAACTTTCTATCTTTAATACTCTAGTCTTCAATACTTCCAAAAATACTACCAATTATAATGTCAGTGATATAACATGAGTGTTGACAGTAGCATTAATATTGTCAGTTAGTATTTCACAGCACTGACAGGATTAATATTGTTATTGACACTCATATATGACAGAACTGACAGTATTAATATTATTAACTCCCACAGTACAGATAGTATTAATGTTATTAGTCATATTTGTAACTGATAGTATTAATGTTATTGGAGAGTGATACTCATATCTCACAGTATTAATGTTATTAGTGTCACTCATATCTCACAGTATTAATGTTATTAGTGATACTCGCATCTCACAGTATTAATGTTATTTGTAATACTCATATCTCAAAGTATTAATGTTATTTGTAATACTCGCATCTCACAGTAGTAATGTTATTTGTAATACTCGCATCTCACAGTATTAATGTTATTAGTGATACTCATATCTCACAGTATTAATGTTATCTGTGATACTCATATCTCACAGTATTAATGTTATTAGTGATACTCATATCTCACAGTATTAATGTTATTAGTGATACTCATATCTCACAGTATTAATGTTATCTGTGATACTCGCATCTCACAGTATTGTTATTTGTAATACTCGCATCTCACAGTAGTAATGTTATTTGTAATACTCGCATCTCACAGTAGTAATGTTATTTGTAATACTCGCATCTCACAGTAGTAATGTTATTTGTAATACTCGCATCTCACAGTAGTAATGTTATTTGTAATACTCGCATCTCACAGTAGTAATGTTATTTGTAATACTCGCATCTCACAGTAGTAATGTTATTTGTAATACTCGCATCTCACAGTAGTAATGTTATTTGTAATACTCGCATCTCACAGTAGTTCACAGTATTAATGTTATTTGTAATACTCGCATCTCACAGTACTGACGGTATTAATGTTATTTGTAATACTCACATCTCACAGTATTAATGTTATTAGTGATACTCATATCTCACAGTATTCATATTATTAGTGATACTCATATCTCACAGTATTAATGTTATTTGTAATACTCGCATCTCACAGTATTAATGTTATTTGTGATACTCGCATCTCACAGTATTAATGTTATTTGTGATACTCGCACCTCACAGTATTAATGTTATTAGTGATACTCATATCTCACAGTATTAATGTTATTTGTGATACTCGCATCTCACAGTATTGTTATTTGTAATACTCGCATCTCACAGTACTGACAGTATTAATGTTATTAGTGCCACTCGCATCTCACAGTATTAATGTTATTAGTGCTACTCGCATCTCACAGTATTAATGTTATTAGTGCTACTCGCATCGCACAGTATTAATGCTATTTGTAATACTCATATCGCACAGTATTAATGCTATTATTGGTACTCATGTCACAGTATTAATGTTATTTGTAATACTCATATCTCACAGTAGTAATGTTATTAGTCACAGCACTGAGGGCTATTATTTACTGACACCCATATGTCACAGTACAGATGTTATTACTAATATCTCGCAGCACTGAGTGTTAATGTTCTTATTGACACTTGTCCCTCTCACCAGTCACCCTACCATATAAATAAATCGCATTAATACTCTGACAGACACATATTACTGCTGAAGCATGTAAATACTCACATCGCTCCGCGCGCAGCTCCTCATGAAAGAGACTTAAATCACCTCAGTCTGTCTTTATCGTTGTTATTCGACCTCCATTGTGTCGTTTAATCTCCAGGCTTTATATCAGTCTTTGAACGGCGTTTTTATGTCGATGAATACTGTTTCTAATCTCTGAATGTTGATTTGGATGCGGATTTAATGGCGGCGCTGACAAAATAAAAACGACCAGCTTCTCGCGCAGCGTCACGTGCACGTGATCAGACGCACCGTCGCTGATTGGACGGCTCCACACCACGTGAAAACCAACCCTAGAATGAGACATTCATTATCGCATGTTTTAAAAATCATGTTAAAACTATTTTAAAATTGACTGAAATTAAATACATGTAATCATGACAACAAATCATTTTAAGATAAAAAAAATACACAGAATCTCAGAAGACAAGAAATACCTAATTATTTAATTAAAATACATTTTTAAAACTAATTATTGACCACAAATTCCACTCGCAAATTTGTGTAAGGAAATATCTGCATGTATGTATATAACGATCGGTCAAATGAATACATAAACAGCAATCGTGACCACGTGACACGCCCCTCTCCGTGACGTCACCCAACATGGCGGCCTACTTGAGCCGGTTGCACCACATTTCGCTCCACGTCTCAAACGTGGATAAAGTTGCTCACGAGCTGGTGTCCCGGTTCCAGTTTAACGTGTTCGCGGCCCGACTGACAGACCGAGCGAAGCAGCTCGCGCTCCGCAGAGGATCAGCCGTGTTCGTGGTCAATGAGAGGCCGAGCGAGGCGCCGCGGAGGCTGAATGAACGTCAGGATTTGAACTGTCTGTACGGAGCCCACGCGCACTATCCGGTGGACACCGTGAGTAACGTGTGTTTCGAGGTGGAGGACGTGCAGAGGGCGTCCGCTGCGCTGCGGGATCGGGGTTTGTGTGAGTTTCTCCAGCCGCCCACCGAGGTCGCCGATGACAGCGGCCGGGTCACCTTCTCCATCATCCGCTCGCCGGTGGGTAACGTGTGCCACACGCTCATAGACCGCTCTCGGTATCAGGGGCTCTTCCTGCCGGGCTTCCATCAGGTCCGGACGGACTCCGAGACCGCGGGCCGCTTGCAGTGTCCCATCACGCACTTCGACCACATCACCTACGCCTGTCCCCGCAGCAGCACCGCACACATCACCCGCTGGTACCGCGACACCTTCGGCTTCCGGAGGTTCTTCATTGACAGGTTTCAGTGTCATCATCTCTCTACTGCTGCCGCTGACCCATATCTGCAGATAACTGTTACGATCGGCATTCCTGGAGCTGAACGCCAAGGTCATGGGTTCGATTCCCAGGGAATGCATGAACTGATCCGATGAATGCATTGATCGTGTCTGACAGATGCATAAATGTAAATGGTTCAAACAGTTGAGTTTGGTTTAAACTTGCGCCAAGGTCATGGGTTCGATTCCCAAGAAGGAAACGCACAGATTTTTGTCTAATGTTTTTGAAATAAGTCTCATCTGCTCACGGAGGCTGCATTTATTTGATAAAAAATACAGTAAAATTGTGAAATATTATTATAATGTAAAACAGCTGTTTTCTGTGTGAATATCTGTTAAACTGTAATGTATTTCTGTGATGCGCAGCTGTATTTTCAGCATCATTACTCCAGTCTTCAGTGTCACATGATCTTCAGAAATCATTCTAATATGCTGATTTGCTGCTCAAGAAACATTTCTGATTATTATCAATGTTGAAAACAGTCGTGCTGCACAATATTTCTGTGGAAACCGTGATTCACTACTATTCAAAAGTTTGGGGTCAATCAGTTTGTTTTACTTTTATTCATCAAGGACGCATTTAATTGATCAAAAGTGACATTTGCAATGTTTCAGAAGATTTCTATTTCAAATAAATGCAGTTTTTTTAAACACTGATTCATCAAATAATCCTGAAAAATAAAATGTATCAGTTTCCACAAAAATATGAAGCAGCATGACGACTGTTTTCAATGCAGCCTAAATAAATGTGCACATTAAAAAATCTTAATTATTCTAGATTTTGGCAGGTAGTGTTCATGAACTACTCCAGTGTGTGTAGCTTGAATGCAATGCAAGTTGCTTTGGATAAAAACATCTGCCAAATGCATTAATGCAGTAAAATCACTCATGCTGATGCATTTCTCAAACTACTGAAATATTGTCAGGATTGTTACCCATGACCCGTTCTGTGCAGGAATGAAGATGTGGATGAGGGATACGTGCTAAACCACAACGGGATCGGGCTGCGACTGACCGCTATGGAATACTGGAAATGTAGCGAGTCGGGAATCACACTGCCGTTCAAAGATGAACAAGAGCCGGACTGCAAGTTTGTAATCGCAGAGTCTCTTCCACAGCAGGGTAACATTTAAATGAATCATTTAATACAATGCACTTATTGTGTACATGCATGTTTTGTGTTATTTGGTCAGCTTGGCTGGTGTAGATCGAGTGATGTTGTGTGAAGCAGCATCCAGAAGCACAGCTGTCTGTTTCTAACAGAGGTTTAATCTCAGGCAGGAACCAGGTGGACACGTTTCTGGGTCAGCACAGAGGCGCAGGAATCCAGCACATTGGGCTCTACACCGAGGACATCGTGAGAACGGCTCAGACTCTGAGTCTGTCTGGAGTGCAGTTCTTCTCTCCTCCGCCTGCGTACTACACTGAGGTCAGTGTGCTTCATGAATGCTGTTCTCGTGGCTTCAGGCGAGCAGGTTAGGTATGTCAGGTGTGTGTGTGCACTCAGTCGTGTTGTCCTGTGGTTCGTACTCTGCTCACAGGTGGGAAAGCAGGACGAGATCGTGGCTGCGGGTCACGACCCTCACGTTCTGAGTCAGTACGGGATTCTGCTGGACACTGACCTCCACACGGACACAGACAGCCAGCGGTACCACACTCACTACTGTCACTGATCAACTTATCTCCGGAGTAGATTTTGCGGGACATTTTTATGTTAAATAATATAGATGTTATTATTGTGTATTCATATGCAGCAAATACAAAGGTACCTGTATATAATGCACAATAGTTTTTGTTTTCATCAAAACCCGCTAGACATTCAACAACAGCACTCTCCCCGAGACACTAAAGCCATAACTAGACATGCTTTATAACATGTGACCCTGCAGCACAAAACCAGTCATAAGGGTCAATTTTTCGAAATTGAGATTTATGCATCAGCTGAAAGCTGAATAAATAAGCTTTCCATTGATGTATGGTTTGTTAGTATAGGACAATATTTGGCTGAGATACAACTATTTGAAAATCTGGAATCTGAGGGAGCAAAAGA